CTTCTGGAGCAAGAGCCCAGATTGAAGTCAGAGGCATCTAAATAGAAATTGATTTCTAGAAAGAGTTTTATCAGAGGGTATAGTATCTACTATACTGGTAAACACATAAATCTCATTATATAGTTTTAGAAGGACCAATTCTGCTAATTCTGAAAGTAAAAATATAGAGATAAAAGTTAAAGATAGTTATTAATAGAGGCAAGTGACAGAGAAGCATTAAAGAAGAATCAATAATAGCTCCTTGTAAAGGTGTTAAAAGGTCTCTAGATAAAGATTGCTTGACTCCAAACTTTTTAAAGATTATGAAAACACAAATCACACTGTCACGTGACAGGCATTTCTCTGTATGGATGTGCGAGCAGTGCTGACATACTAGGATGCCAAAGCAGAATTATTCATTAGCTTTTGCAGTGCTGCTGTTGTGTCTACCTGGAAGCCATTTCTGACTTTTTTCTTTCCTGTATATCACAAAGGCATAGCTGCTGCTTTCAAGAAATTTTACTCAATCATAATCCATATTAATTCAGCAAGAACTTGAAGCTAAGAGAGAATGTGAGAAACTGGAAGATATTCTGTGTGGCTGCATCCAAGAGAACATGGTGAAGTGGGGTAGGGAATAGACTGGAAAGGGACAGATCTTGATGAGCTCTATATGTGCCGTGTTAAGGAGTCTGAACTTGATCCAAGGGCAGAGGGAAGCTATTGCAGGATTCTAAGCAACAGCGTAAACATGACGCTGGCTGGACCATACGGAGGAGTTTGAAAGGAAGCAGGGCCAGAATGAGTCAAACCAGTTTGGTGAATGTGATAACTGAGGCTAGAGAGAAGGTGGCAGAGAGAAATTCATGGCTTTGACTGGATATATGGGTGATGGAAGGGAGAAACTGTGAGTGATGCCCAGATTTCTGGTTTGGGAAACTGGTTGGTGAAGCCAATAACTGAGACTGGTGACATGGAAGGAATAAGTAATTATTGGAGGATGTTATTGTGTCCTGTTTGAATTTGATGTGCCTGGGCACATCCAAGAGATGTTTAGCTGGTAGTTGGATGCACAGGTCAGAAGGGGCACTGGAGATGGATTTGGGCACGAGACATACATTGAGAGAATCTGAAGATATAGAAATGAATGCTGTTGCCCAGGGAGGGTATGAAGGATGAGAGGAGAAATAAGCCCTGAGTAAATCTCTGAAGAACACCAATATTTAGAGCAAAGGGAGAAGATTTTATAACCTAAAAACTATTACTTTTCTCCAGGCTCTGGCCATATGTCATCTTGACCATTTAAAACTGTCACGTTCTTTTTATTCTAAAAAGACTAACTTCTAAAATGACCGAGATTTTATTAACTTTGAACAGAAATGACCAGAATCCTTGGATGAAAAGAGTATAAAACTTGCTGAGCTGCTAAAGGAAATGTTTAGTGAGTAAACTTTAGCAGGATTCTATGAAATTGGATTTATAACAAACTCAAATTTAAAGGGGTGAATGCTGGGTTAAGAGAAGGTGTCGGGGATGGAAAATATTTATTGCATCAGAAAACTGTACAGCTGGAAAGGACCTTCGAAGTTAGATTTTTTTAAACATCTCCTTTTTACACGTAGAAACTGAGACATAGACATGATAAGGTACTTGAAAGTTACAGTTTTTGATTCCTCCAGACCAGTGGTTCACAATGTGTGGTCTGGGGAACCTTAGGGAACCTTGATAGTTTTTCAGAAGATGTACAAGGACAAAAGCATTTCATTGTTATTGGTTTTTTAAATTCTTTTTCTCATAAGTATACTGTGGAGTTTAACAGAAGCCACATGACATGTGATATCACGACTGAATGAATGCAGAAGCAGATATGAGAATGCAACTATCCTTTATTAGGCCAAACATTAAAGAGATCTGTAATCATGTAAAATAATGCCATTGTCCAAACTAAATTTTTTTGTTTTGGAAAATAAAGTTATTTTTCATAGAAATGTTATTTATGTTAATACATATTAGGTATACTATTGTTTGTAATAATTATTGCTATAATAACATAATTAGTGTTACAAGACTTGATATAATAAAATTTCTCAGTTTAATTTCTAATATAAATATTTATAGATAGAATCCAGATGAAAAACTCTTAATACTCACTAAGTATTAAGAATGTAAAGGGATCTTGAGACCAAAAAGTTTAAGAATTGATGTTATCCTGAACTATAAAAAACAGTCATAGATAAGTCATACTAGCAAATGTAAGGTATACATACTTGGTATTTATACCTCTGATGATGGAAGGGAGAATATATGAGGGAAATTATTAAACTGGATTATTGTAGAATAAAAGCGAGAGAAAGCCTTTCCTAGGATTAAGTTTTTTCCCCTAGTTGAACAATTAGATAAACTGCATATTTTTTCCCTCTCTCTTTTTTCCCAGTGTGGGTAATTAGGGCTAGAGTACAAGAAAAACAGCACGAGCTTTGGCAACTAGGAAAACTGACCAAAGGTCTTAGAACAGAAGACAAAAGCTAGACAAGACTCAGTACTAAAAAGTTTTCAGGGTGCATTAGATCTATTCAAGCCAGGAGGAAACTAGAATAGATTAAGTGTTGACTAAATGTTGTTAAAGGCTAGAGGGGAAAATAACTTATTGTACTTTGGTATTTATATTCCTTTAAACCGAGTTCTAAATTTTGTATCCCATTAAATTAATAGTAGTAAATACTTATGTTCATCTGTTTCGAGACATCTTATTTTTAGAGAAAAGATATAATTAAGTGGAAAGCATGTGATGATTGTGAGAAATGCCCTCACATGTCCAATGCCAAAGGATGGACTTGGAGACATGAGGTACAGCGAAGCGAGACTTTAATTATGGCCTTGCAAGGTTCAGGTATCTGTGAATGGGACAGGCACATGGAAAAGGGCTGTAGCAAGCAATTTATTCCCTAGTTTGCAAGTCCCTCCCCACACTTCCTCATTGGCCGAGTACTACGGGATGTACGATCTTCCCGAATGATGCCTAAAGTTTATAACCCCCTTGCAAGGAATTCCTTTGTCTGGGGGTTCAGGACAAGCCCACAAGAAGGCCTGCTTAAGTCCTGTGAAAGGAGAAACAGAAGGGAATGAAGAAAACAGTGAGAGCTAGTAACTAATTACCATCTCAAGGAGAGCTCTATCTGTTCAGAGACCCTCTGGGAATGGGCTGGACCAGTCAGACAACTTTT